TAGTATTTCGTTAAACTGTTTTTCCAACCAGTCCGCGCAAAAAACGAATAAAACAATTTGCGTACGATTTTTGCACATTCATTTAATAACTACTTGCCTTAATCTCACATATCTGAACGTGAGAATGAGGAGCTTGAAAGTTGAATTTTTATGCTAACTCGCCTGCATATGATTGCAGTTACCCCTAAAAGTCCTAGCCTCAACTATCTAATTTTCAAGTTACAGACCATTAACTTCAACCCACCTGTCGAGGAGTATGATGCACGGGAGAAATGAATATTGATTTGACGTACGTTTACTCGCAATTTATTGTGGACAATGCTTACAAAATTTCAGCTCTTTAGTATCTACGGTTGCGAAGTTACAAAACTGTCAGCTTCAAATTCCGCACTCCATACGCACGAGAAGGCAATCGCAAAGGCTGAATTTGGATACTTTTGTAGCAAACGAGTGGGAATCTCCCTGCAAAATTTGAAGCTTCCAAATTTTCTGGTTTTCAAAATCGTTTTCCCATGAAAATTTCTTACGACTGTCCGCAAATGAGAGAAATGAGGGCGAGTACTTTCGATATACGCCTAGAAACCCATACACAGTGGTGAAATGAGTTGCCAAAATTCCACCTTCACGGCTTTTTTGGATCTAAATGAGAACAAATATATATAAACAAAACCGATATGAACAACCTCTTCAAAATTTTGCGTTTTGCTGGTGCGAACCCAGGCTGGAACGAAGCAGGCTTGCCGGTGTGATCATGGGTTTTTGCACTAAACTCGCAGATCGTTAATATCAGGAATGATCCCTCCGCTGGAGCCTAACGCTTGGGCTCATATTGGTCATGCTTTGGTCTCTTTCGGTATGCAGCAAAAAGGCAGTCGGTTGGGAAGAAGGTGCTGCATCACACGACAGCGTGGACCTCCAGATACATTATCATCAGTTTTTTGCATGTCGTTCGATCGTTTATCTGGTAAATGCTCGGTCTTTGAAAAAATGCAAATTTCCAGTTCACTGAAAAGTGAATATGTTGCTCCGTCGTTCGTCAACAAATCCAAATTAACAAATGAGTTCATTCACGTGTTGGAAGAGGATGAGGGCGGTCGTTCGCTGCAATATGCATTGGTTTCCGAGTTTGCGGTAAATTTGTCCAACGTACAGGTGATAGATTATACTTTAGCGTGCCAAATTCACAAACGGTACTACACGGTTGCATGCTTTTGCTTCCGCCATTAGTCATCTCTATTCTGCACACTTTAGCAATATCTTTACAAACTTACCACATACCGAGATTGCCAACAATTTGAATTATTTGATAGACCTACGTTTCTAAAACGCGTGTAAGGAATATGTGGCTGTTGGGTTCAAATCAGTATGGCTCACTGGTGAAATACGTACTGATTTGCCCTGTTACACTAAAGACGAAGTCAAGGCGATCCTGCGTATCATCCTCTCCGAAACCTACGTCAGGTTTGGAGGATACCTGTTCAGACAGATACAAGGTGTCCCGATGGGCGAAAATGCTAGCCCCGACATCGCGGATCTGACGCTATCCGTGATGGAATTCCGTTATATTCGTATGCATCCAAATACTGGGATCTGCTTCTTCCGCTACATTGACGATATTCTGGCTACAATTGCCCGGATTTCCCTGACCGCGCCAAAGAGATTTGTGGAACTACGCTTACATTGAATACTAATTATTCCGGACCGTACGCCTGTTTTCTTAACCTGACAATCAGCTGTGTTGACGGACGGTGCACGATTGATGTTTACAACAAAGCTCTGGACTATCCCTTCCCGTTCATCAAGCCGGCCATCCTGATAGTGATGTTGACCTCGCTATTCATGATGGTATAATTATGTCCCAGATGCTCCACTATGCTAGAATTTGCAGCACTGTCCACAGATTCACGTGGTAAAAAATCCATGTCTGTCGGGGATATGATACAAATAGAATGCAGAGAGTTCTTTTAAAATTCTGTTTCCGGAATCGTGCTATTCTAAGCAAATTCATTGAAGTGGATAATGAGGGAATTAGAAATCTCTGCCAGTCCGTAATAAACTTTCCAGCACAATAGGGACTCCACTGTTTGGATTCAGTTTCCACTGACAGAACATACAAGCGCTTGATTTGATGAGGTTTATGGTTTTTAGCTAAAATGGCACTATCAACTGAACCACCGGCAAAAAAGACGAAGAAGTAGACGTATCTGCTGCATGTTAGTTTTACTTTTATTTATATTTCTTAACAGTTTTTTCACATACCGTCATTCACATCCTTCTTTCCTCCATCTTCCTTCGAAAAGACACATATTCGTTCAAAAGATGGCGGAGTGGGGCACTGTACTGATGATTCCCACCCCCATTCCGCACCGACTCTGCCGTCTGTGTTTACAGTTTAGGGATGAAACACAGAACGGACAACAGCTAATGCATATACAGGCTCGCTTTTCTGAGTATCTAAATTAGCATCTGGTATCTAATCTGGATATCTGGGTATCTAAATCATTGCTTTCCCACAATTGACAATATTCGACTGTGTCCTTTTCATCGGCTGGCCTACAGTGCCAAACAAACATCCATAGTTTACATCTTTCAAAAATTCCCAAGACACGTTAAGTATTACGGCACAACCACTTGCAGGGAATTTCTCCTCCAAGTAGAATTAAGACCATGCGTGGAAGTAGAATACCCAAGCGATGCTTCAGCCTCGCGTCTTATTCGGTAAGCGAAACAGCCACCTCGCTACAAATATCATTGAAGTGCCCTAAGTCGTTGCACAAGTACAAATCAGTATTCATTTCAGGAATACGATTTCTCACATAGGCGACAAATACTCTGACAAAACTTCGGCCACTGTTTTCCAAAAAGTTTTCGAGTTAGCAGAGTAGCAAAAGTTGACGTGGTCGTACGCGCTATACAAACGCATGCGACAGCGGAATTGAAATCCTTAGCTCGCAGACGCATAAAAAATATTCCTGCAAAGTTTCAGCTTTGTACCTTGCCTGGTTCGCGAAATGAAATCGTTCCCCGCCAAAGAAATATGCA